ATTAGCAGGTTGTCAGACTGATATCAATGACATCAAAGATGATAAAATTGAGAATACATGTGACATGACTGTTGAGCAGGAAGAGATAGATGACGAGGTGGAACAAGTTCTGAGAGAGGATGGTGAATACTCCATTGATGAAGAGCCCAACATGTGTGACCCCAAAATTGATGAAAGATACTCATATGATCCATCTGATGGGAATGATACAGCTGGAGAAGGAAATTCATTTAGTTCAAGGTAAACAATAGCAAACAAATTTTGTCAATTATTTTTTATTATTGCTACTATTCTGACATAATCTATGCAGTATGTAACTGTTAGAAGTTTAGTCAGTACAGATAAAAATGGAATCAAAACATAATAGACATCTGATTAAGGCTTGAGATATATTATATATATTGGGGCACAATGATAAACATTAATGCATGTTTTTTGTCTTTTTCAGATTGAAAACCGAAGGAAAAGACCTAAGAGAGCAACCTAAATTGATTGTTTTCTTGTCCCACCTGATGATGCTATTTAAATTCTGTCATCTTTGCCAAAGTCCAGATCCATCTGTGAGCACATCACAGACTGGCACTATGATAACTACCAAACTAAGCTTCTAGATCAAGTTGATGGTCAAGAAGTGGCATTGGCAGGTGACGGCAGACACGATTCCATGGGCCATTCTGCCAAGTATTGCACGAATACAATATTTTGTTGCACTATTGGTCTCATCATGAACATAACCCAAGTACAGGTATCATACATGTATATTATGCCAAAAATATCCATATTATAATCGATCATAACTTGTTTTGGTAGAGATGAGGTTTATGGCTATATTATAGTTAATAAGACTTGTGTTATATCATTTCCAGGCAAATGAGGTTGGAAGCAGCACTGGCATGGAATTCGTTGGTCACAAACGGTGTCTTCTGTTCCTATTGGCCACAGGAATGGTCATTAAGGAATACATCACTGACCGCCACACATCCATAGCCAAGTGGATGAGAGAGGAATGCCCTGGTATCTGTAATCAAATGGGAAAACCTAAAATTGAGCACTTTTTTGACCTTTGGCACATTGCAAAAAGTATGTAAAAACTATTCTATTAAATGATAATGTGGGACACAGGACTACATTCTCATTATTTGTTTGACTATATCATTTCAAAAATCAACAAAACATTATTAAAACTAAGCAAAAAAAAAAGGGGTTTGAGTTGATTGGTCRCTGGAGAAAGGCGTGTGTTAATCATTTTTATTGGGCAGTAATGTCAACTCCTGTCTTAATGAGAGAAGTAAAACTGGCCAAGTTCCAGGCATTTCTATACCACATAATTAACAAGCACAAGGATTTCCCTAACAAATTGTTTGACAAGTGCAGTCATGGCATTATTTCTGTCCAAAAAGTATGGATGCTTAAAGGTACATGTATAGTACAGTGTTAAACCATAGTGCTAATGATAAAATAATTTAACAAAAACATTTTCAAAACATTTGATACACCRAACAGTAAGAACTATATATCACTACAGTATCACTTAGTGAGACTCTATATTATTGTATAATGTGTTCTTTATGCGTTGACTTCTTTCTATACTTCTTAGCTTTTTATTAACTATTTCCTTTGGTGTGATATCACATTTAACTCTAAAGGTTCTGAAGTATATGAAAAGCTCTATGAAACACTGACAAACAATAACCTCTCCAAAGCTATAAAACAAGCTTCATCCATAGCACAGACGAGCTGCTTGGAAGGTTGTCACAGCGTCATAAATCAGTTTGCACCAAAGATGTACAAATACTCATACCTTGGATTGTTAAGCAGGTATGGGMAATCTGCATTTTGTTATTATCTACAAGCCAATTTAGCTAAATTCCATTCTGTGTTTTTGTCAAAGGACAACATTGGCAGCTCTCCATTTTAATTACAACGTGAGGAGGGAACCAAGAAAAGACTACACAGGCCGACCCAAAGTTGTTGTGAACTACCCAAAATATAAGTATGGAGAAGGTACAGTBAAAGAGTCTAAAGTGGAGCATAATTATGGTATGTCTATGGACATATGTTCCAAGAATAAACCTTGAAACAAAATGGACATCAGACATTGATTATACTTAATTTTCGCAAAGGATAGTATGAATAGTTAGTAAAACAATCTGATTTTTATTTCTGTTATATTCAGATTATGTACATGAGATATACAAAACCCTGGTTGAAACTCCAAGAGATGAGAACTGAACGAACAGCTACAAGAAAGTGTTCCTGAGGCAACGAACAGTGTGGCAGAAAAGCAAACAAAGGAAGAGGCTGTCCAAAAATACAGACAAAGAAAAGAAATGGACGTGGAAATTGTGCCTCCTACTTGTACAAGTATTCATAATTTCCTAGTATTTGTTAAGTCTGAACACCCAAAGCATACCTCCAATATYTAATATTGTCAACTACTGTAATAGTAATTATTATGAAATTCTCTGGATTGATTGAGCTACTAATCATTAATGAATAGTTGGAGGCTCTCACAAGGTGTTTTGACTATGATGAATAATAGGCAGAGATCATCATTTCATTAGATTAATAATGTATGTGGCCATTTGGCTTTCTTTGAATACTATTGTGATTTCCTTTATTAATAGGCGAAGAATTTCAAGCATTGCTTCAACCAAATCAGGGAAAAAAACGAAAGACCCCAATATGTCACGATTGTGAGAAGCCAAGGAWAGGCCACAAGAAAGGACCGTGCCCTTATAAGAAAACATAATATACCACTCACCATTGTTCAYCAAGGTCATCCTCCTCATCTTCGTTCTCACTGTCYTCCCCTTCATCCACTTCTTCGTCCTCTTCTTCATCCTCCTCTTCAAAACCCCGATACATGCCATCTTGTGATGGAAAGGTGCTGCGGATGATGTTGTATACACAACAAGGCAAAGGAAGTCTTTTGGACACTCCTTCGAACTGCCACACAAGCCTGAAAAACTGCCGATATGCAACAGACCTGTAAAACCTATAGCAATAAAATCATATGTCAGCTCTATGTTGTACAGGAGACGAAAAATATTTTGTCAGTGGTCAGCATATATATGTTTCAGACATGATGGCTACACATATAMACAAATGAAAAATATTTAGCATTTTGAATAATTTTGCAACCAAATTCCCCCTATTAAATTACTTTCATTTTTAGTTATAGGAATACAGCAATGTATTTCTTTCAGCTTATACATGTACATGTACTATCTATAAGCTTACACTGTAGGCTTAAATCTAAGTTAATTTACATGTAGCACTTTATAATTTACTTACTCAGAAGCCGTCGATCGTCCCTGCTCTCTCTTCACAGTRTAGCTCCTTCCTTTACGAGTTTTGAGGCCAATTGCGGCCGCTTCCAGTACCCATGTATCCAGACAAACATTTTTAAAACCGGGATGCATTGTTATGCAAGGCACGTCTWCTTCAAGCTGTGCTATCTTGTCTGAGCACCGAGTTATATCTTTGCAGCAAAAACACTCTTCTTTTTTCACAATGTTTTGCATATCACATTTTGAGCAAGAACACCTAAACWTGAAAAAAAGAACGRTACTTCTATGTTATATTAAGATAAGGAATCATACATTTCACACTCACCAATCCCGTAACAASAYCTTTTCGTCGAATCGGTCTACCAGAATTTGTTCCTCTTCTTGTTCTTCTCGAAATTCCCTTTCGTATGTATTCACCTCCACTCCACTCGCAACAGGCTCAAACTCTTCGTTAAAGGTGTTCATTTCACCGAAAAATTAGATAAAAACGCTATATA